TTTCATATTCTCGAGTTCCATTCCCAAACAACGAGGATGACTACTCCAAAAACATACGGTGAGTTCCAGCTATAAGTTTTCTGCAATCATAAGTTCATTTTAGATGGCACACACAATTATCTGGATTCATTCAGTTGTTCTGATCAGAGCGAGTCCCAAAGACCTCAACAGCATCAAGCACCCTGGAAGTGATTGCCATACTGTATGTTTTATTCTGGATGCTTTTGGATCATTACTACTCCTCACGAATGGCGTTATATATGTCGTCCACTGAATAATCTAATTTTCAAAAATAACCCAGGCGAGTTCAACTATTTTTACTTAATGATTTTTTTTTACTTAACATGTATATGTTTTCCGGTTCCTTTTGCCATATATTTGTAAGTGTCACTAAGCTAAATGCAGTAACTTCTTATGGAAGGTTTATAACGCATCATATTCCTGCCTGAAGTTTCACAAGCAGTCTTAACTTTAAAATTATTTATCTGGTCATGTTCATTATTTTTAAATTGTCATATACGTCAACAACCTGTTTGTTAACCTGGCCCACACATACGTTACACTATATCTTCATGTCTTCTAAATTTAGGAATCATCTGAGTCGCCTTTAGCATTTATCAATAAACCCATCATAGTTGTTGTTGCTAATCGTATTTGGGTTTAGGGATTGGTTTATCATATTAGCAGCCTAAAATGCGAACGTAGTTTAGATAATGAGATTAAAAATTTAGTTACTATCAACTGCACTAGTAAAATAAGCAAATCCCCAGGTAGCTGTTGGCTAAACAAACGTTTAAAATCAAAACTCCGTAGCCTGCTAGAATTAACACTAAACGAATATTTCTGAATTGAAATTTATAATTAAATTAGGCATCTCGGATTCTTTAACGTTATAAATTTCTGATGATTTTGAATCACCTAAAGCAACAATACCTATTTTTCTACTGACTAATCCTTAATCAACACTATAACTAGTTAATTTTAATAGTTTCAGGATATCGTCATAAAGCATTGTCATAACTTGACAATCACGTAATATGATTGATAAAATTAATGAAACTATTAACGAAATCGGTCAACAAATTGACTTATAATTACCATTAAATGGTGTTGTTTTCTTGGTATCTTCATCCATCACAGATGATTACAGTATGTTTCTCTATCAGTTGCTCATTCAATAAATATCTCAAAACCTTGTCAGTCTAATTGATGGTTTAGCGACACAATCATGCATGCAAATAATCAGTATAAGCAGTCGAGCGAATCTCCTGCAAACTGAAAACATCAATGTCGAATTTACCCCAACACTGACTAAGGTTCAAGCCATTGTCATAGACATGAGTTGGGAGTGTACCTCCCCTTGGTTACAACTTATGTTCTCCCTGATAATCACATGAGCATCACTCACTATTAATCATCTTGTAAAAACTTATTTAGCTAAATACATTTTGCAGCACCACATCACTTCGTAATATGACACAGGTCTAACTGATTTTAATAACTTGTAACCACTATATCTCAATTAAATCGTGTTCCCCATTATAATAATCTGCATACTTGCAACTAACTTGTATGCCCAAGCAGCCGGCAAGTATAAATACAAATAAATAGTCTGCCACAGATCAGAACATTGAGTCTAGAGCATGTCTCTTACGAATACACTCATTTTTAACGATTTGCTTCTAGCTGTCTGTCCAAAATTCACATAATTATCACTCACGTATTGAAATTTTCTTTTAATAACCATTCATGTGTATTAGTAGTATTACTAAATTCTATCACGGTCAAGTAAAAATAAGGTTGAGAAAATCTCCCCGTAACTAAATAAGCCGTATCAAACTAACTGGAACACTAGTTGGAATTCTTCTCCACGGTATACTTTTGTTCCTTCAGTTAGCCTACTGATACAGATGCAATTGGAATTCAACTCATATGGACAACTTACCGGCATAATCGTTATCCGATTTCATAATTTAAACCAAAACTAATACCAATATTAACATTTCTACAATATTCATTATTTTAATATTTCTAAACACAAAATAATTACTGCCTATAAGTTAAGTTATTAACACGCATCGTTTTATTATTATTATTATTGTAACCCCATTTTTTTTATAGCTTAAATAATCTTCACCCAGATTTTCATTTCAAGCGTTTTAAACATGAAGGCAGATATTTTAAAATTATTACATGTATTTCCCGACCAGATGCTGCCGCTTTCTTTTTGATTTATCTTTCAGCTTACCAATACCCGGAGGATTCTTATTATCCTTGGTAACCTCCGGCGCGCGACGATCCCATCCAATTTGGTATCGAACCAACATCACGTTGATTCTGGTGGGAGAGTAGTGTAGTGGCATTGGACAATAGCCACACAATCCACAAAGCTGTGAATACGAGACTACTCAGAAAATAGATATTCAATATTTAACGCGGAGAAATACCTAACAATGGAGAAGGCGCGAACAAGGAATTGAATGGACTGGAGTTGATCGAGTGGCATGGCTCGGCCATGCAGGCGTGGTCTCTATTCATATTAAATATATTGTTCTTTCTCCAGCCTAACCTTCTTCCTCATCATGTATTGGTAATTGATACGATACAGTGAGTTGGTGTAGTCGATGGTGTGACTTCCACGTAAGATCTTATAGATTAGGCAGTTATATCATGACAAATCGACAAGTTTAGGATTAGGTCTATTATTAGAGCAGTACTAATATCATAGTAGACCATAGTTCTACATGCTCATAGTCATAAATGAAATTCGCAGGCAGACCAGCGTGCTGGAAAGTGAAAGAGTGAGCAAAAATTCGAAGCATATATATGTTAATAGATACGTAGGTAAATTTATTGATTGTTCAAATTTGTAATGAGTTAAGGGGTAGATAATGATCGAGGTACATATATGGTTTCAAACAGACTCTTATACACTATTACATAGTGAACCAAATGTCTAAATCGCAACAAGTGGGTAGTAAAATAATATAATGGGCTTACTATAATGCCAATTATTAAGTTGTCTTAGAAATTTGATTAAAAGTCTCCCTTCAACCAGCTTTTATGGCATAAAGTGTTCGGCTGATTCTAATGGCTGATAGCTAGTACACTCAGGTAATATATAGAAGAGCGCTTCAGATATTTCACCATGTAACATACCTTACGAAATACACCACATTCGGAAGCTATGAAATCCACCTCCAGATCTAATTGTAGTTCAAATGGTTCAAATGGTTGTCGACGGAATAGAAGAAGCTCTCGCTTAACAGGCTTCCGTGTCTAGTAGCAGGGGATCATCAAATCCTCCAGACAGGAACCTAGGTATGTTAACAATAAAAGAGGAAAAGAAATTAGTTAATCGTAGTGTGATACTATCCTTAGTCCTTAAGAATAGATCAAGTTGCCTCTTAAAGGACTCCTGGGAAGTCGCTTGGACTAGCTCGGCCGGCAGCAAATTCCAGCATTTGACAACTCTTAAGAAGTAGAAGTTGTGTCTACAGTCCGTTCTGCTATGTTGTGTCTCCAGTTTTTGGGTGTTACCGCTTAGGTTAGTGTTGAAACGAAGCATAAGTAGGTGTTTGAGAGGATGTCCAGAAGTGTTAGGGATACTATAAGCCATCAGAAGGTCACCTCTAAGACGCCTATATTCTAATGGGTTACGGTTAAGTGATTGGAGGCGCTCTCCATAAGGTTTAAATTTGAGTCCCCTGAGTGATTTCGTGGCTCGCCGTGGGATACGCTCCAAAGTGTCCTTATCCTTTTGGAGTGAGGAAGGAAATACTATGTTTCCGTACTCTAAATGGGGACGGATAGAACTATTGGAGATTATATGGAAAGTTCTTCCGTCAAACTGGCCAAAAACGCGCTTCAATGTTATCAGTGTAGGGTTTGCTCGGAAAGCACTTATGTCACAGTTAGCGTAGGACTTTAAATGGTAAGGTACCAGGACTCCTAAATCTTTTTCGACTTGGAATACTACTAAAGAGGAGTTACCTAAGTTATAACTGTAGTCTGCGACATGTCGCAGATGGACTACTTTACACTTTGAAGTTGAGTCAGATCCTCCTGAAGTGCCTGTATATCGTCTTGATTGCGCATCTCTCTCCAAAGTTTCTCGTCGTCGGCAAAAAGTAATATGTCTGACGTTACCTGTTGAGGACGATCATTTATGTAGATCAAGAAGAGAAGAGGTCATAGTACTGAGCCTTGGGGGACCCCACTAGGACATTCCATAGCCTGAGATAAAGTGAAATTAACCCTGACCTTAAAATGTCGATTTTTCAGGTATGAAGTGAGCCAATCGATTAGAGGTGGTCTGATACCCAATCGTTTGAGCTTATTGATAAGACATGTATAGGTAAATTTATCAAAAGCTTTTGAGAAATCCAGGTAGATGATATCAACCTTCCCCTTGTGATCAAGGATGCTTGTCCATCTGTCCACCGCAGTCAGAAGGTTGATAATACAAGTGTAACCCTTCCTGAAACCATGCTGTTAGTTCTAACCTTAGTTCAGCGCATTCAGACCTTCAAGCTTGTACGTGATTACAAATTTTACGACAGTCAGTAATTCTAGATGCCTTAACTAATTCACTTAAAATGCTACAGGTATTTTTAGTTTGACAACACTTTAACCAGCGAAACCTGTAGTTGAATAGTGATCACTCAGCAAAGTCAAAGGTCAGAAGTGAGGAGGTTCGAATATATATTTGTCAGGTTATCAACATATCAAGAAGCGAATGATCTAAACTGGCTAGCGCTTGCAGGAGAAGTTGAGCACAGCGTTCCCACTCGTGGTCTGGTGCGGATGCGTGACCGAGCGCCTTCAGCTCGGTGAGCCCATTAGAACCAATGTGGCCGGCATAAAATGTCGAAGACTTATAGAGCTACTGATTTTGGGGATTTTTTTACCACTACACACTTTTCTCAACAAAACTACTGCAATCTAAGTTTCTTGAATAATCGATTTTAACGATCTGTATTTCCATACACTCAAGAACCAAACACGATAACGCAGATGTGAATATAAGGAGGTATTTATACTCTAATTTATTCGTAACAATGTTTTTTATCTAATGACTGAGTTTTTGTACGCTTTCGTTGTTTCAGTTATTTGACCCTGACAATTACCTACTTTTGAATATGCAACAACCCGGCGTAAGTAGTGTAGCTGCGAACGTATTCAACCAGTAAGTATAACTTGGGTTTTGTAACAATAAATCCCATGATAGAATCGACAGGAACAGAAAGGGAGCCATAACTGCGAATGAATTGCAGCAGGCATTATCCAACGGTTAGTTTACAAATTGTTGAATGCATTCGTATTTCTTCATGTTAGTCTTCAGTAATGAAGATGGTGGGTCGACGGACCTGTGTTGATCCTTGCAGCTCGTTTTCCAGTTGAAACAGAGCTCTGAAATATTCACTGATTGGACTGATACCATTTGTTCGGAGAGGGTGTTCCAATCATTGGCTACTCGATGAGAAAAACGGAACCCCACTCTGAGTTTACGAGATCGCGGGTTTTGAACCTTTTCGCTATGGCCTCGGATAGGATTAGTTCTGGAGGGAGCGAAAAGATGGGACGTATTGACTCTCAAATTGTTATTAAACATACGGAATGTCAACATCAGGTCACTTCACATTCTACGATACGATAGGGGAAAAGGTTCAGGAGTTTTAAGCACCCATTGTAAGGGAGATTGGAAATAACCTTTAATAACTATGTTCCCATACGTTAGACGCAGTCGAATGTGTTAGTATCTTGAATAAGGCATGGACTGGCTGTTTGGGCAGTCAGCTTTTATATTGTTTACACTCACTTAGTACCAGCACTTACTGTAAAATGCATTGGTTCACAAGTAAGTTTTTCTGGCTGTGTGAAACGTATCCACCTCACAGAAACTCATGGTTAGTTTGAAACATTCTTGTCGACAAACTATTCCTCTTTTTCGTCAGTGTCCAGCACTTGAGAGAAATGTAACACATTTGCTTCTCAATAAAAAACCCTTCGTTGTTGTTCATGAGTTTTGAATTAAGGCTTTTTCAGGTAAAACAAGAAGTCACGCTAAAAAACCAGTGGATTTGACACTAGTTTGTCACAGAGATGCTCAATAAGCTTATACACCTCTATCAACATAATAGTTTGAACTGATGTTTCATTTGTACTTATCAGCAGCGATGAAAAAAGCTGGCGTATCCGCACTTAAACTAACTGGAGTTAGTATAAAGCATCGTCATTCGAGTCTACAAAATCAAGTATCGATGTTCGTATTTATTACGCTACGCTCGTTCACTTCATCTAACAGTAAACTTCGTGTCCTGGTAATAGCTCAACTGCGCTAATTGCTTTTTAGTTTCACATGAACGCACATCAGAATGAAGTTGTGAAAGGTTCTGGTTGGAGGCATTATTCGCATATATTTTGTTCTTTCTGGCCTACAACCTAAAACACATGCATCAAAGTATATTATATTACAGTCTCGTCAGTCAGTCAGTCAGCTACAACGTAGGACCAGGCACATATGTGCATATTACAGTCTCGACTAAAACAGAATATATTTTCTCCATAGCCAGATGACTTGACTATCTTAAATTGTGGAACCAGTCGTCGGAAACTCAGATAAGTTATGAGTCACCTCCATAAAGAAAAAAGTCGAGTGACAGTGGGAAAAGTGTACAACCCCTAATGACGCTGCTGACAAGTTCGACCAAAATGTCAGTTCATCATTAGTTTTAAGTTGTCTAATTAAACTTCGGTAAATAACTTTTAGCCTGTGTTCTAAAAGTTGTTTAAGACTAAAACGTCATTTAGTACTTCTAGGATTAGGTTTAAAGGTTGTCTATATGCAGAAGATTTGCTTTTGAAGAAATCTAACCAACCGTTTTTGATTCTTAAAACAGACCTTGAAATTCATACTGATCAAACTAATTCCCCCTTAGTTATCACGCAAGGCCTTTATGGGATATTTTAAAGGATCATATATAGTTTCATCTGACTACGCAAACCCAGTAAAATGTGCTCGTTATTAACAAGTAGTTAACTGTTTGATTTACATACACACTAAAGTGGAACAATTTGATTGGATTAAATCCATAATTAACTCGTTCAACAAGGTTTTTATTCTTATTGACTGTTGCTGATTGTAAGGTTCGCTGTTCGATAGAAATCTGTTTCTACGCTGATCGATTTCTCACGTTAATATGAATTATTTGGCAACTGTGTTATATGATTTTCTGTTTATAGTTTAATTTTGTAGCATCCTTGTGTTTTTTTATTTTTTCCGAAATACTAACCTTAACAACTCCCACACAAAACAGGATTGGGGACATCATTTAATATCAAAACGGTTGAACTGATGATATGTATGTTTGACAAAGATATGAATGGCACTATAAATGTCTATGAATTCTCTCAACTATTTGAGTACGTACAACAGTGGCAACAATGTTTTCGATCATATGACAGAGATGGATCCGGTACAATCGACTGTCGAGAGTTTCATACTGCTTTAACAAGCTTTGGTTATCGATTGTCTCCAGAATTTTCACAATTCTTAATTAGAAAATTCGATAAAAATCGCCGCGGATCAGTAGGATTTGATAATTTTATCTTGGCATGTGTTTGTTTAAAGGTAAGTTTCAAAATTTTATCTTCCATACTGTTTCCTATTTCTGTGCGTCAAAACGTTTTAATGGTAGATATACGAAAGTAAATAAAGATAAAAGGCCTAAAAATACCTGTGTAACTTATTTATCGTGTTAGAAATGTTAGTTGTTCGGACATTCTGGAATATCATAATCCCTTCGGCTATCGGTAATGTTTTCATTACTTTACTTTTCATCTCGTCCAACTTACCCTGATGATGTATAGTGTGGCAACTTGACTTGGCCCACGTCCTTATTTTATTTATGATTAACCAAATTTGAAAGCTAGATATGTATTTGTTCTGAAATGCGACATAACTTCTGCTTTCAGTTTTTACTTTGTTTGCTTGTCATGGTGACTGAGACTATGTATAACCTGAGGAATCTGTTGCGCGAGATCTTACCATGCCAAAAGTTCCGTGGGGTAGCAGAAAACTTAAAGTCGGACATCAAAGTTATGCTCTTTATTGTCTTGTAGTGTAATAGGTTTCACATGTTTCGGATGGATTATTAACACCCCTAGTAATGATGTACAGCTAGAAAAATAAATTACAAACATTCAACCGTAAACAGACCATACACTCCCTTGATTAATGATTCCTGATCCCTCCTGAAAGTTTTGGAAAGTATAAAGCGTATGTAGCGAAAAATACTATTAGCAAGACCATCAACTCGTTATCTATTGAGCTTCTCGGTCAAGCTCCGTGACCTAAAAGGTCATTGATACTCAAATAGGTTTTTCTTCACTTTCATCGAGTAGTCCTCTTTCATGATTAAAGCATTTGAGAACTATTGATTGTCAGTACTCTAACATCACTCGGGATTATCAATAACTGTCTCAAATGTTTTCTAAATTTCCTTCCATTCCCCTTGTTAATCTTTCACTTTGACTTTATTTTCCTTCTAATGCGCAACCGATTCTAAAGATTTAATTTTACGATGTGTTATTGCCGCTCTGCTAAAATTATGCTCTATACTGCAAGCCACTCTGTAACAATTCATATTATTACACGCCCATGTGATTTATGCTGACTTTCTGATAGACAAATTAGTCCGTTTTTCGGACAGACAATAAGAATATGCAGGTAAGAGCAGGCAAAACGAGCCTACTCAATTTCCATGAGTGTGATTCCGCATTGTTTCGTATGGATAAAAGCAAGCTAAAGATAGTTAGTGAATAGAATATGTGATGGACAAATATATGTACATACAAGTTCTCTGAAGGTAATAAGTGAACAGCTGACAAGGTCAAACATATGTGTACCTAGTAACTCAAAAAGGTTAGATTAATATATTTGTCCATAAGTAGGAATTGCTACAAATGCTTTCAGTGTCTTAACCTTATTTCTAATCGAAAAAATAGTTCCACTAGCCCAAGATCCTAGAATATCTTCCGTTTGTTGGATACTGTGTTACAGAAACCCGTGTGTACTTATTTACCTAGCCAATATGAAGGACTTGTTTACCTTATCCTTTGTAACCGGAGGCTCAACCGCAACACCTCATCGTGCTGCATATGTAGATTTACCATTACGTTTCGCAGAATGGACTATCAATTTTCAACCTAGAGTAGTTTATTCTGTTTTCAATTAAGTCGAACATGCTTCAAGCACTTTTCACTAACCCACTATCAGCCAACATCTTATATACTATATCGTTATTAGGTTTGTAAATGTTCCTGAAGTTGAGAAGCTTGTAATTAACTTTAGACGATGCATAGAAGCAAGTTATGAGTCGTCAATTTCACAAACCTTATGGATTATAACCGAATATCATTCGTCAAATTAACAGATATATTAATTAAGGTTTTGAAGATGAGAATGAATAAGAACGCTCAAATGTTGATGTATTTCTTGTAGTATATACCGTTTCTTCCTTCTCACCGTTTGAGAGATTTTTCAGTTGCATCTCCCACTGAAAGATATATCAAAGACTATCAGTTTACTGAAACTTGTTTGTTGCGGTATGATTGATTAAGTCAGAGCTTACTAGTAACTGTCATGTAGACTGACTCCATCAAACAGCATTCCTCAAGATTGTCCTGTTGTCCTACATTTCCCTTAGAGGTAACTGTTTCTTATTATTATTTCTCCTTCCTGGGTTAGACCTAAAGAGGAATATGCTGTAATCCACTTTGTCTTGCCGAAGATTTTGTCTTAAGTCATATCTGTTCTTGGAGTAAGGCCGGTTGTTGTTTCATCGTTGGAGATTTCAACGTGCCGTATATCAAATAAATAGAGCTTACAACGTCAGATAGATGTTTTGACAGCAGCCTGCTGTCAACACATTCGAGAATGTCTAAAGTGTGGGAACATAGTTATTAAAGGTTATTTCCAATCTCCCTTACAATGGGTGCTTAAAACTCCTGAACCTTTTCCCCTATCGTATCGTAGAATGTGAAGTGACCTGATGTTGACATTCCGTATGTTTAATAACAATTTGAGAGTCAATACGTCCCATCTTTTCGCTCCCTCCAGAACTAATCCTATCCGAGGCCATAGCGAAAAGGTTCAAAACCCGCGATCTCGTAAACTCAGAGTGGGGTTCCGTTTTTCTCATCGAGTAGCCAATGATTGGAACACCCTCTCCGAACAAATGGTATCAGTCCAATCAGTGAATATTTCAGAGCTCTGTTTCAACTGGAAAACGAGCTGCAAGGATCAACACAGGTCCGCCGACCCACTATCCTTATTACTGAATACTGAAGGCTATATAATCACTTATTGATTTCCTAGTTTGAGGCTTATTATGAGACTAAAACAAATGTTTATTATTCTCTGGTTTTCAGTCGCATTCTAAGTGTTCATTATTCGATAAAAAAATATCTACAAGTTGTATATGAGCTGATCATCGTACGTAGTAACGAATTATACCTGTATATGCTTGCTACATTATTAAAAACCATTCATTCTCCAGTTAGCATTGGTGGTCACTATTTTATTTAATTCATAAAGACACATCCGTACATTCTTGTCCCCACACAGTGATTAATCATTTATATTTAATGGTTTAATATAATGGTCAGTTTTTGAATTATTATGCGTGTGTCTGCGTGTAATAATGTAAATTTTTAAACAGGCTAGCAGTGTAAGGAAAATAAGCTTCTTGTATAATCATACTACGATTTTATATAGAACTAAAACAGTCATTATTGTGTTTTATTCGCTGTTTAAATATATTTCTAACCCACTGTTACATAGTCAGACTTATTGAATTGTTATAACCTAAGTCTTATTAATATATAACGTAATGATACCGCCAATTAGAGAACAGTGATTTATCGACCGGACCAATGACGCATAAACCCGTAGGAGCAGTCTACAGTCCTTATCAGTCCTTCTCCCTGTCTGTTGAGTCCAGAACACTAATCTCAGCCTCTGTGATATGATCATGCATTTCAAACAGACCACATCGTACCATAAAATAGGAAATAACATGACCTAGCCAAAAATGGCTGTGAATGTGGGAGACCGTAATTAGTAGACTGGGCACAACTCAAGAACAGTAAATCGTATAATAATAGTCTATGGGTCAAAACAAAGCTTTTAATAAGAGGAACACGAATATACATAGTTTAGCTACCTACCAATCATACAATAAAAATATGTGTAACGTATTGGTCCATAAATAAAAAGTTACCATTCATAATTCTCGTTAGAATGAGTTGAATTCCTTGACTCAAGCTGCTTACTTACTGTGTAATCAATTTCACCTTCTTTGTGACTCATTTGCTAGGTATCAGCCTTGTAGGTTACTCGGTCTTTGATAAATCAGGATCTAATTATTAGGCTTAATTCTTCTGCATCACATCGGTGTTATTTGAAAACTTTGTTCCATCATCGTTAAACCTCCGTTTTACTAAGGAACCTAACTTGTAAAATTTCACATTCTATGATATTTAATCATAATATTATTCATTTATCATTGTTAACTCCTTTCTACTATTGTCAATTAATTCACTATAATAATAGCTGAGGATATTAATTACACGACTATGGAGCAGTGGCTTGGTGGATAAAACATTCGACTTTTAATTCATGTTCTAATCCCGCTCTAATTGTTTCGATTTAAGTAACCGGGTGTTATAGCTCTGACGGCAGCAGATTAAAGGGTAGCGAATTATTGATCGGACCAAAGACGCGCAAACACGTAGAACGACCTAGGGTTCTGATTAGCCCTGCTTCCCTGTCTAGCCCAGCCAGTTAAGTCCAGAACGCAAGTCTCAGCCTCGGATATATGAATCCTTATATTTCAAACACACTGTTTATATACTAATCAAACAGACCACATCGTACCATAAAATAGAAAATAACATTGTACAATATTGACCAGTAGGAAAATGACACGTGAAATAAGCATTGACCAATAAGAGAATAATACCATCTCCAAGTCCAAGAATAGCATTAGACTTAATAGAATAATTTTTGGGATATTTTCCTGAATATCCCAACACCGGGTAATATCATTGAACCTTACACTTAGATTGTTGTTTATATCTAAGTATCTAGAGAATTACTTAATTTAAATTAAAATGTTCATTGTATTAATGATATTGTTTGTTTTTTTAAGCCAGTATACCATTTATCTTCTATTAAACTATTCATTTTATCATTACTTCTATTATTATTATTATTGTTACAGAATTTAACTGATGTATTCAGACCTTATGATTATCAACGAAATGGAATGGCACAACTTAGTTATGAACAATTTTTAACTGCTGCATTCAGTGTAGTTAGTTAGTTAATTCAACATTATTATTAATGGTCAAATATTATCAATATCCTCTTCTTTAAGATTGTAAAGATAATAGTGCTTACTTATTTATATCGACCAAGTTATCATACTTGACCCATATTCTTGTCTAGAAACAAACAAACATAAGTATGAAATACTATGTGATTATCTAAATCACTTATTGTGAATATACAATATAATTGGAGACCATATCTGTCTGTCTCATCTAATTGTCTACAGTGAGGTTACTACTATAACCAATATACTCACTTTTTTCATAATAAAAAAACAACTAAAATTGCAATTACTTTGTTCTGTTCTATGAGAATAGTTTTTGTTTTCTTCATATAATAATAATGAATTTATTGAACACATTAAATAGAGGTCAGTGTTATTGGTATACAACTTCGTTGTGTTTAAAATCAAATTAACTGCATAAAGGTTCAAGTCTATCATCTGTTATTAATAGTTGAATACTAGTAGAAAGATTTATTAAAAGAGATGAAGTAAGAATAAATCAAGCATACAGCCTTTTGCTGCAAGTATAGAAAGAACAAGTCAACATGTTAAAACAGTAACTAATCAATAGGAATAAAAACTGCTTTGTTCACAACTCCTAACAGAGGTGTTTCAGGACGAATAAAACAGAAATTGAGAATTCTTAAATAGCATATTATGATGGATAGTGTATGGGATCTGATACTGATACACAGTGTGCTACGTACTAACCCCTCAACTGGCTGGAACAATCGTTCTTTAATATTCTACCATACCAGACAGGGCTGAAGAGCGGTAAGACTAAAAGCAACAAACCCAAGGTCTGAAGGCGAAGTCGTACTGCTGACTGTACAGAGGTGTGACAGCAGTAAGGTGTTTCCTTCAGACAACCAGCGTGACAGCGATGCTGCCTTCCCATAAGGAGGGGTGGGGTTAGAAAAGGTCGACCCTAAAAATGCACACCTCACCTTATCCCACGGATATCCGTCTCCGGCGGCATGGTCTGAACAAGTACGGAGATAACACAAAAATTACTCATAAAAATGTCGTGTGTGACCGATCTTAATCAGTTGTCCCTTGGGCACTGCGATCATGCTCTCTGGTCACTAAGACCACCTCTAATCCAATATCCTTTTCAGGTACCTCCAGAAGAACCCTTCCACGGTGCGGGCAGCCGGGAATTGCTAAACGCCCTCATACCTCTAACAGCACTCAAGACCACTGTTTTCATATATATGTCACTCTATCCTTTAGCAAATTTTCCCATTTCTTAGCCAGTGAAATGCCATTAACCTTTAGGTCACTCCTGATTGCCACCAATGATTTCTCGACAGGACATTTCTGATTGGCTTACCAATAGAATGTTAGTAAGTAATTTTCAGGAATTTATTTGTAAATATTTTTTTTAATTAGAAGCTGATAGTCGTGATTGGTGTCAGAGAGAGAGAGCGAGAACTTCTCAAATTCAAGCAACATATCAAGATTATATTGTTAGTCAAGTGTTGGTATGTGGACTCAAGTGTCATTTTAAGAAGTCAGTCATTCACTAACTAATGCATCACATACACACACTAGTACTTAATTCAATTAGTATTATCATTCGCTAATAAAAAAATTTCCACACAGTTTATTTACGAACCTCATTCAATTCAATTGTTCAATGGTTATGGAATACTCTTTATTAAATAAGTCGGAAATTGAAAGATTTATTTATTCAGCTTGGGTACAAATGACCAGTTAGTTATAATGAGCTTGTTAGTAGCTCAGTGCTTTATGTTACTCTTTGTTAGTGTCCAGTGTTAGGTAAAACCTGTTATAACTTGTGGCCTGACCGCCCTGCTAACGTATAACGTAATGATAACGCCAATTAGAGAACAGTGAATTATCGATCGGACCAATGACGCATAAAACCCGTGAGAGCAGTCTGGAGTACTTATCGGTCCTGCTTCCCGCCTAGCCTAGACCAGCCAGTTAAGTCCAGAACACCAATCTCAGCCTCTGTAATATGAATCGTTTATTTCAAACATACTGGGTTTATGTACCAACCAGGCAGACCACATCGTACCAATAAAATAGGAAACAACATTTATGCGAGATTTAGCCAAATGTGGGAGATAGTAATTGATAGACAGGGTATGATTCAAGAATGGTAAATCGTATAACAATAGTTTATGGGTCAAAATAAAGCTCATAATAAGAGGGACATGAATAGTTTAGTTACATAACAATTATACGATAAAAATATACGTATAGTATTGGTCCATAAATGGATCCCAAAAGTTACCATTCATTATGCTTATCGTGACAACAGAACCAAAATATATAAGTCAGTGATTAGTTAGAACTAGTTGATGTATTGATTTTGTAAATCGTATACTTACACCAAATTATTGATTAAATAGTGCTATCTGTCAACATTCAAATTTATTTATTGATTTGGTGAAATTTTAGTTGATATACAACTTTGTTCTTATTGATTAGTTGTGCATAAATAAATAATTATCTGATAACAACAACAATCTTGCTTGTTGTTATAATCTTGTTATACTGAACAAGTAACCATATCAACGACCAAATACGCTTTATTTTCAAGCTAATACATTGAGAATTCATTTAAATTAACCATTTCATTAATATATATCGACATTGATATAACTGTTGGTTTTCAATATTTTCCTCTGTTAGAAGTATATTACTTACGTACTTGCGCATGTTACTCCCAATGGAACATAGGCTGCCGATCAGCATTCTCCATCTAACCCTGCCTATGCAATCCTTTCCAGTTGTTATTTATCCTTTTCATATCTGATTTCATTTCCTGGCATAATGTGTTCATTGGGCTTCCACTTTTCCGCTTCCCTTCATTATTCCAAGTTAGGGCTTTCTCAGTGATGCAGTTTGATGATTTGTGTAATGTATGTCCTATCCATTTCCATCGTCTTTTCCTAATTTCTTCTTTAACTGGGAGCTGGTTTGTTCTCCCCCACAGAAGGCTGTTGCTGATGGTATCCGGCCAATGGATGTTGAGTATCTTGCTTAGACAACTATTTATAAATACTTATACCTTCTTGATGATGGTTGTAGTAATCCTCCAAGTTTCAGCTCCGTACAGTAGAACTGTCTTGGCGTTCGTATTGAAGTTTATGACTTTAACATTGGGTGACAGTTGTTTTGAGTTGCATATGTTCTTCAATTGTAGGAATGCGGCCCTTTCTTTGTCAATCCTCGCCTTTACGTTAATATGACTAATCATGTTATATCAGAACCAGGATTCACAACCCAGAATAGAGAACCAGGTTAACACTAATGTATACTTTATTCAATATAATTACAAGCAGTCACACACAAAGAGTCCAGAACAGAAATCACCAATAAGACGTTAAACCAAATATTTAATACTCCGTAGGCTGTGACAGTGATACTATGATTTATGGACGACTTTTGAGCAACACTAAAGTGACCTTGAGGGTGTCCACCTAATAATTAGGACCAAATAAGGGTTATAAACCTGTGTGAGGAATTCGAATTATGATTTACAGTTGATGGTTAAGGTTAGAAATTAGATTTAATGTTTTAATCACGTACTGACATCATCTATAATGACAAAACTCGACTTAGCCAAATGGATGAGTGTGTTGTGGCAGCAGCTGACCAATATGTTAGGAGTAATGTCCTTAATATCTGACTCCAAATAATAATATTCCGTAACTGAGTATTTAAGGTAGGCTTAATCTCCTAGTAGAATTATGGATTTACTCGAGATTATTAAGAAGCCTGAACACCAGTTATGGAGATAGTTTATTATTAATGAATAATGATAATCCACAAGCGTATTGTGAGCAAGCACACGATGGGAACAGAGAGAGTGAGTGAGTTTGTTAAAAATCCATATATATTTGAGGGTTAATCGGGTGTAGATAAATTATCGATTATCTGCACGTTGAAACCAATAGGAAAATAGTTTAAAAGTTAATGTACAGACACGCATTCGATCAAACACACCGAAATTAACATAGTGAATTAAGAGTCTAAGTTACAATGAATAGACAGATGATACAGTGGCCAAATGGGCTTGCCACATAAGCTCCCATCCAGAACATTGATGTTTTTATGTACCAAAAAAAAAAAAATTGGATTAACATCTATGTTCGACAAAGAGATAAAGAACGGAACTGTTTTTAAAATAAAAGTACAACTCAATATGATGAGTAAGCGTAAAATTGTAATAACAGCTTGTGTGTTGAAACGTTTCATATCGTATATACAATTGTATATTTAACATTAATGAATTGTATAAAGTTAAAATGTAAGCATAATGATGATCCGTGGGGCCAATAAAAAAAAATAGTAATCAAAATAAAATAGGATTTTTATGTGTTATAAGAGTAGTCTCAGGATTTGGTCTAGATAAATATGGTGGTAGCTACATACCTATCTGGCCAATGTACTCTTCTTCCTGATCTTGTTGTAGTTTGTGCTGCTGCTGAACTTTGATTTGAAGTGTTGCTTGTTGCAGGTAGTTTGAATGGTGCTTGCTCTGCTGCAGGTTTAGACGGTTTTACAGTTGTCTGTTTTTTCTCAAAAATATTTCGTCTCATACCGAAAGGTACAAAAGGGCGAGTTTTACCTGTTGAGGTGTCCTTGTTGTTTATGGGGATGTTTTGGAATAATAATTTCGTTTCCTTAGACTGCAAAAGCTTTTGTAGCTCCGTATCGACCTTTTGATGCTTTGCCATTTCTTGATAGTCTATATCAGGGATCGAGAAGGTATTGATATTTAATCTCGATAGTGCATCTGCTGCCTCATTTGCATTGCCTTTAATATAGCGTATATCAGCTGCAAATTGTGAAATGAATTCTAGTTGACGAATTTCGCGCGGACTATATTTATCATGATTGTGCATCAAGGACTTAGTTAGGGGTTTGTGATCAGTATATATCGTGAAAGAATTGCCTTCTAACATGTAGCGAAAGTGTTTGATAGCTAAGTAGATAGCCAACAGTTCTCTACCGAATGTGCTATATTTCGTTTGCGTTGCGTTTAGCTTTTTTGAGAAAAATGCAAGGGGTTGCCATTGTTCATTGACACGTTGCTGAAGTACAGCACCTACTGCTACGTTAGAAGCGTCGGTCATTATTGCTAAAGGTGCATCAACCTTTCGTCGTGCGAGTAATGCCTCTGTGCTTAAAGCGCTTTTCAACTGATCAAATGCTTGAATTGCTTGCGGTGTCATTGCTAATGATTTAGCTCGTCCCCTTAATAAATCAGTTAGTGGTTTTGCTATGTCTGCGCATTTAGGGATAAAGCGTCTGTAAAAGTTTATCATCCCAAGGAAACGTCGTAGTTTCTTGAATGAATCAGGCAAAGGATAATTTTTGATAGCTTGTGTTTCCTCAGGAACTGGTTTAATGCCTTGCTTATCAAGTACGTGACCTAAAAAGGTGAGGGATTGTTT